AGCGATGAATAGAAGCATGGAATTTATTGTGAATTATATATGTCGCATTATTTAAGCTTTCTTTAAGTGTAATGTAGCGATACATAATAGTCCTATAGAAAACTCGTCGTGTGATGGGAATTTAATTAATTAGCACGTGCAATTGGTATTGCTATTTTCAGTTGGCTTGGTAATTGTGAACTGGTGAATCGTGGTCGTGTGGACATACGTTAATATTGGCAACCGGTGGTGAATGGTTTCTATTGTATCTACCCGGATCGGTTACTGGTGGCACAGGCAGTGTTAGAAGCTCTATGGACTTGATGTCGATGGTAGCTGAAGTATTGTCGATGCCAAGATTTGAGGAGCGTAACAGAACACTGCAGGACTACAATAGAACACTAATACTGTAAACTTTATCAAAGTTTTGCTTTGCCTTAATTCCCTAACCCGAAGGCCTTGTATGGCTCAATTTAGTTTTACGTAACTATGTATTAAGCATATTGTTGTATTTCGCATAAATGGATAATAGATTGAAGTCGTTGATTTGTCGATTAACGTGATTTATTAGTGATAAGTTCTTGTGCACTAGTTTCATGTTAATTTCATGTTAATTTCTGAGTATGAATATCTGTTGATGAGGTCTAGAGAATAAAATAGCTTAGTTAACTGTATGCACTTTGTCATCACCATTCATTGTGTGCTCCCGCGTGCTTAGCCAATCCTCGGATCTGTGACAACGACCTACCTGTGAAGTATGAACAAAACCAGCCGAGCCGTTGCTGGTGAAAAGTTACCCCAACTTTGGGGTCAAATTTCTCGGTAATGAAAACAGATATCAAAAATTCAAATGGTAACTTTGTGCCCACACTCAAGCTGAGTAGAATGAGCTATGTTTGAAGTATTTTATCCCAAATTTGTAGAAGGAGATACATTTGGCGCGAAGCTATCCAAAAATCAGTTTTTTGGCTGTTGCTATGGCAACGGTGGGCCAACAAAATTTTCCAAAAAATCACAGAAGAAATAATACGTGGACACTGGAACACTGGAAATGTACACACACAGACACACACACACACAAAATGACAAAAGTGATTATAAGGGCAATCCTAGCGGAGCGGATCGCCAATATGTAACAACTTGAAAACAAGTTACTCGTCTTGTAAAATAGTGTGGCCAGTTTACACTACTGAGATCATTTGCTACTAAACTGATGTGTTTGGTTTTTATTTGAAATTTATTCTACACTTTTATTTACCAACAACCACAGTAGCAAATGTTACTGACTGGGCCACACAATTTTTTGTCTGCTTTTTTTTATCATGTATGCAAAGAGATGTAATGTTCTGTACTACAATATTCTAGTCATAGTTTCTAAGAATTTGCACACTATGTGCGAATATACACTACGTTGTTTTTTATTGGCGTCATATAGTAAATCCATGGCAGCTTCACGATCTAAGTATACGGCTAGTTGTCATCGAAATCAAAGCCAAAAGATCATACTACAACACTTATAAAATCACTTCAGTGCATGAAAAAAACATGACGAATATCATTTTGCATTTAATATTTGCATGCAAATTTTACCTGCATTTCATAAACCAATGAAGTGATATTTTGTATGCTATTTTATAATCACTACTGAGTAATAATCAAAATATGTAACAACTTGAAAACAAGTTATTCGTCTTGTAAAATAGCGTGGCCAGTTTACACTACTGAGATCATTTTCTACTAAACTGATGTGTTTGGTTTTTATTTGAAATTTATTCTACACTTTTATTTACCAACAACCACAGTAGCAATTGTTACTGACTGGGCTACAAAATTTGTTGTCTGTTTTTTTTTTATCATGTATGCAAAGAGATGTAATGTTCTGTACTACAATATTCTAGTCATAGTTTCTAAGGGCTTGCACACTGTGTGCGAATATACACTACGTTGTTTTTTATAAGAGTCATATAGTAAAACCATGGCAGCTTCACGATCTAAGTATGCGGCTTGTTGTCCAAGTGTAACAGAACATTGTTGTTTCAGAAAAGATAATATAACTGTAAATGAACCCTGCATAAATCGTAGTTGTGACATTTTGGGCATTTCTAAGCAATATTTCCTGTAAATTAAGCAACCACAACATACTTGCACCGTCAAGCCCCCTGTGGCTTAAAAGTAAGATTTGTTCAGACCATGGACGTTAATGCTCCACAGTTCCGCGGCATTCGGAGTCCAAATATATTTGACCGGCAAATGGACTGACTGATCAGAACCCAAACGCCGCAAAAAATACGAATAATCAAAATAAATATTAACAATTAGACGACAATCAACAGTGTGAAATACTTGATCCAGTTCAATAAATTCTGATTCTGATCTCAAATAAATTGTGTACATATATTTTGGTTTCACATATTCCTCATCGGAACACAAAACTGATGAGACCAGCCGCCATTACGGTATAACAGTGTTTGTAAACACTGGCTAAGTTGAACAAGGCAAAACGGACGCGCCTACTTCATCAAAATGGTGGCCAAATGTTTGAACTTGACAACACCACACACATATTCTTTGTGGCATACTTACCACCGATTACTTGACACTCAAGATGACTTCCAGTCTCACAGACGGGGCAAAACAACACAAAACCGGGGTATAAATGAAAATTACTAAGTAACTTTTCACCCCAAACAAAAGCCACGTCAGATTAAATTGGAATGTCCCGGATGCTAAGTCGTTTGTACCTTGTCCCTCAGCGCATTGAAAACAGAAAATACCTCCCCCATGACCTGCACCTGCGCACACCAAAGTTATACTTTTTTTTAAAGGCAAGGTATTACTTTATTAATAGTTTCACATGGCTTTGTATACCATGAATTCGAATATATATGAAACCAGATTTTCCGATGAACGGGAATATGTTATAAGCTTCCCATGTCAGAGGTTATAGTTCATCGAGTGATGACCACGATTGACCTAATAAAAAAACGTCACATGACCAAACTCACTTCGAGACGAAACTGCAGTTTCTGTCATGTACCCAGCTGTGCAGTCACGAGGTAGTTGCTCATTTTCCGGTGACTGACTGAGTGTTATTATTGACACTTTGAATGGCCATATCAGTTTTGAACGCCGATGTTTATTTGGTGAACTTACAGCGATACAGAGGAACTGTCCGAGGAACGGCGATCCGGGAGTGAACTTCAAGTTTAAGGATCCAACGAAAGTCTGTATTCGCCGCAGGTAATATGTGTGACGTAATATTATATTAAGATCATGTCTTGATTCAATTATTTTAGGTTAAAGACATAAGACATTTGGGACACAATACAAAGTAATATATACTGTTACACGGCTCCGGATGCAGAGGTAGTGTATGGACGACGCCGATTACGAGGGAAACCATACCCCTCACCTAACGCATTAGCATAATCATGGACGCATATATTCAACCTGGATTAACAGTTCGGTGGCCGAAGATGATAATAATATTAATCTTAATTACCCTTGCGACGGCAGCAAAAATCACAATGAGAAATCGCTTTACATCAGAAGCAAAACTATTCCACAGGGAAATACTAAATCAAAATAGTTAGCATAGACAACAAATATTCATGAAGTGTTTGAAGAAAAGATGACACATTTATGATTAAGCATTTTTTTTTCAAAGAAAGGGTATGTCAAAACAAATTGCTTAATGTGATTCCGTCCAAGGTTAACATGCACAAGAACAATGACAAATAAAACATTGTTAAAGGGAAAATAATGATTTTCAACACCCTATTGTAGTGTTTATGGTTTCAACTTATTTTTGTATTCTTTTATTTTTTTAGGTCTGCATCATAGAGGAGGAAGTTCTATTAATAATCCTGTTTTGATTCTTTGCAAAGATGGAAAAAAAAACTACATTTGTCTTCAAATCAGGTTTAATGATTTTCAATACCAAGTGATCGTTGATGACAGCTAGATTTACAGACTCGCGTTATGGCATCTCCCAGACTTGAGTCTCTTTGCTGTATTAACATTTCTGACACTAAAGATGATTTTATGCTTGGTACCAAAGTTTACAACATTACATGCATTGTGAGCTCATCGCTAAGTATTTTAGGAGCTGTCTACACATTGCTGCCTCGAAAAGTACCAGAGAATGCTAGAAGAAGGACATCCATTGGCCAGGACAGGCAAAGGAAGATCATAGATTGGTTGGCTGTAGCTGATTTTCTTGCATGTATAGGTAAGGTTGTTTGTTTCTCACATAATTGGACTCTTTCATCACTAGCATTTTTGCAAGTCAGTATTTGCTCTACCTCTCCAATAGTAGTGCATTTGTTGTATATGAAATTGATAAAAAGGATAAAATATTAATGCAGTTGTTTTCCAGTCGGAAAATACCATGCGATCAAAAATGAAGTGAAAAGCGGTTGATTCATAAGTGGAAAGTTACGCGAAATGATTACTGTATTTCAAGTGATGTTAGCGTATTTCTAACTCGGTTTTAACTCATACAATATTTATTTAATCACTGTTTACTGATAGCTGGAATGTTGTGTCTTCACTTTCAGGTTTGTTCTTCTGCAGATTTCTTGCAACCAACAACATAATTTTGAGAAGCTTAACATGAATCATTATGGCATTCATACGCACAACACCTCGCTATGTTTTAACTTTTAAATTGTCAGTTAACAATGTCTTTCATAATGGCACATCTATGGGATTGATGTACTAGAATGAATGGGTTCAATAATCAGTGTTCACTGGTGACATCATTGACTGGCCCTCTAGAGGTGAAATGACGCCAGGCAAAGAGGACGTTTGTGTCTACTTCACAGCCCCTTTTATTCCCGATATTTAGGGCATTTCGCATCACATACAAGTTGTTTTTATCGGCAGACTTCATTCATAGATCTCAAATTTCATGTACAGAGTGACAAAAGCCTCTGCTTCTCTTTAAAAACAGAAACTACTGTAAAATCTGTATTAGAAGCCATGGCTTCTATTAAAATGGTACAAAGCAACAGAGGGGATGCGGTTTCTATTAGAGCTTCTACAAATATGAGAAATGATGAATTTTTGGTTCTCAATTGTACAAAAAGAATGGGTGCGACTTCTATTTGGGGTGCAGCTTCTAATACAGATTTTACAGTAATCATCCTGAGTGAAAACTGTCTAGGTATTGTACAGTTGGTAAATGAGCTGTCTAGGTATTGTACAGTTGGTAAATGAGCTGTCTAGGTATTGTACAGTTGGTAAATGAGCTGTCTCATCACATCCAAACCATTCAATCAGTATCTCACTTGCTAGTATCAGCAATCTCCAACACATACAAAATACTGCAGCCAGATTAAAAGACAAAAAATTTTGATCACTGGTCTATATAATCTTCACTGGTTACCAAATATCTAAGAGTATTGATTACAAAAATCTTCTAATTACTCACAATATACATTACTCATCTCCTGATTACCTGTCATCACTCCTCAACACCTAATCTTCCTTCAAAAACACAGTTCCTACTTCAAGGATATTGTTTTAAGTTATCAAATGGAAAATCAACTTTCATTAATGCTGCACAAAATTATGAAATGACGTGCCCATAAATATTGAGCAGTGTGTGACTGTAACATTATCAAAGAAGAAACTTTAAACTTCTACAAGATTTTTAAACTGTTCTGCACACCTCTTAGCATTATTATTAACGTAGAAGACTTATACCAAGCAATATTAACAATATGGCTGTTACTGTAAATGCATAAATTAAGGTCGTTGGAAAGGTCGCAGGCATTTTCATCTAAGAAAATGGCAACTGAAAATGGGGGATCCCTGGTTTTTAAACGAGTTCTTTTTGACAAGACGTATGTCAACACGGCATGCTGATGAACACGTCTCTTCCCTCTGTGTAGTTTGTGATAGTGTCCCGCTGGTATTTTTTGCAAGAAATGCAGTACTCGGCCGCGTAAGCGCCCAGGGGCCTCAACTCAGAAAATCATGATTTTTTAGGGGTGGGCGCTTACCCGAACACCCCCCTCGAAAAAGAGTGCAAAGGATAATTTGATTCTTCACGTGACAAATTACGTCTTTGAGGGAAAATCAAATTACGAAATTAGTTGAGTCATTGATTTTCACAATGAAAAAACAGAAATGATCGCAAAAAATATGCACATTTTATTACAATATTAATTACGTACCACCAGAATTTATGAAATTAAAAACATTGGAGTCTGTTGGAACGCAGTCAAAGTCAAAATTGTCATATTATCTCCACTGATGAAGATGTTGGATCGTACGCAAACTCTTGATGAAAATCACTTTCCGCCATGATGCATTTGCGGATTTAACCTGCAGCAGCGTTCTTTGACCTAATGGGTCAAGTTGGTTATTAACCAATCAGAATGCTGTGTTGCACTGACGCAATTCTTTGGAAATTCCCGAAGACTCTCCAGTAACGCAATGCGAGGTGAATTATCGATGTCAAAGTACTATCTTTTGGAATTGATTTCAGCGATCAAACGGCATGGTTTTTCCAAAAAAAACGTAACTAGCCATTTTTGAGAGGTAAACTGAATATGGCATGAAATATTTGAAGCGTAGTTTACGCACAGTTACCAAGTTCTAAGCATTCACAACATGTTCACGCTGTATCATATAAAAATGATTACCAAGATTCGTTACGCAAGACCAAGTTTTAAATTAGTTGCATTTTGAAGGGGTGGACGCTTTGCCGAATGTGACCCCAAATATAAAAATTGCGCAAAAGTTGGGGGTGGGCGCTTGCCCGGGCATGGGCGCTAACGCGGTCGAGTACGGTATCATGGTAGTTCCAGCACTTTTATAATGCATTCGTCAAGATTTGTATGTGTCATGATATCAAAAACTGCTGTGGAAAGTGTCACGATCGCATATTCATGTAGTACAGTCAAAACAAACTTCGCGTAAGTCATGGGCGATCCTAGTAGCCAGCGACCCCTGACCGTTTTCACGATTGGCCACGATAAAATGATAGACATCTGCGCGACTTGTTATTTGCATATGAAAGTACTCTGATCTGGTAAGAAATCTTACCAGTGAATTTACAACACCGGACAGTCGGTCGTGCCTTACGGTACTCCATACTTCCTGTCCCGGCGTTCGCAATTTATTCACGCCTATTTCGTTTATACGCAATATTTATTAATAATAACAGATTAATATTAGCTACGACCGACTTTCTACAGTCTTAGTCATATCTTGAAAATGTAGCTAAAAAACAAAACAAGTACACCAGTACTTAACCACGCCTTGATTTGTTTTTTCAGGTATTTTAGTAAGGTCAAGTGTATGGTTAGGACGATATGATTACTTCAAAAAGATTCCAATTACAGCACATGGTGAAAGTTTTGATAGAATTTTCTGTGCACTTTCAGGGGTAAGTACCGGGTAATGTTACCATAGAAATTAACCGTTGTCATGGAAATTGAATCTTCTATTCTCATGTAATCTTTGCTACAAAAAATTGAAGGTTTTCTTTAAAATATCATTCTTTATACTGTACACTGTTACGGTAGAGATGCAGGTTCGTGGGCACTTTTCGTGAATTTTTTTTAGCCTTCGCAGACGAGATCTGCTGAAGGCTTATAGATTGGGTTCTGTCCGTGCGTCCGTTCGTCCGTGCGTCTGTCTTTTACCTCTTATAACTTTGATATGCTCTGTCCAATTTTTTTCCAAATTGGTGCAAATGTATATCTCAATGCCATACATATGCACGCCAAGTATTTTTTTGATTCGCCAAAGTTTCATTGTGTTTTTCTGTGATTTTCAACATTTTACTAGTACAAATGCCGAAATTTGCCGGAAAAATCCGAGTTTTAACGACATCTCGCAAGAGAACTGGCATACCGTATTGCACATGCGCCAGTCCAACCGCTGAGGAAATCGGCGGCGATTTCGTCTGAGGATATTTTATTCCGAACTGTATCTTTCTTTGCACAAGGCTTACATAGATTAAATTCTATCTCAAAGGTAAGAAACTGTGCTTATGGTATTCATTATGAACATTTTCACCATTCCGGACCCGGATCTCAGTTATGCATGGACGAATTTCGTTCAAATTTGGTACATACATTAAACATAATAGGACCTTGATGCACGTCATTTTTTTTTCCGGATCAAGTTCGAAATGGCCGACTGGCGTCCATTTTGTTTTAAAGAATTCAGTTCTGGATCCGTATCCGAGACATGTCTGGATTGGTCAAGTTCAAACTTCACACACACAAGGTACATCATGTCACAAATATGTATGTGCATTTGTTTCATGATCCCATTAACGATAGCCAAATGGCGGCCGCATTAAGGCCGAAAATGCATTGAAATCGCACATTTTCACCATTCCGGACCCGGATCTCAGTTATGCATGGACGGATTTCATTCAAATTTGGTACATACATTAACATAATAGGACCTTGATGTACGTCATTTTTTTTTTCAGATCAAGTTCGAA